TATATTTATGAGGATGATCCTGGCTGTTACCCCAAACTGCTTCTGGTTGGTGCTTGAGAAAGAGGTTGGGAAGTAGGGAGTGGAAGGAGGAAGGTGGAGTGGTTGAGAGTCAGGAGGGAGGAAGGTTTGGTAGGTGAAAGAGGGGGAAGCAGAGAGGGGGCAGCCGGGAACACCCGTAAAGCATTTTTTCTTTTGTGTACTGATGTTTTGTATTTATATGCATCAACTTTATGTTTATATTTTGTTATACTTGAAAATAATAAAAATTTTAAAACAGTATTCTTTAACCTTGCTTAACAACCGCCAGGACCTGCGGACGTAACGGGCAGACTCCACGGCGGTCGTAGGTGTAGGACTACCTCTGTTAGACCCCTTAAAAACTCAACCAAGAGAGAAATGTCTTTGTTTTCACTTCAGACACAATTATCCGAGCGGTGCTGATCTTCGCTGAAGGCATCTTTGAAAACGAGAGCCACGTGATCCACCCCACTCTTCAGAATCTCTCGAGCAACATAAAAGTCCTGCTCTCTCCGCCGAAAGATGTCCCGGTGGAGCTGAACATCAAAGCCCTGGTGGGATACAAGAAGAGGTGAGTGAGGGCTTGGCAGGTTTCCCATAAACTGCCTCTTCCCAACCCCTTTTGAAGGGCTGAGCTGTTTTTGCTGTTGGGCTTTATTGGAGGAACAGGGACCCTGAATTATGTGGGAGAAGACGGGACAGCCCGAACGCATAGAGAAATATGATAATTTCTAAGCCCTCAGGCAGGTTTTTGAGTAAGTGCCAGCATTTTGCATTCAGCAAGTTTTTAAAAAAAAAATATTTTGAAGGAACAAATGCTGTATATCGGTTTATAGATTTTTTTCCCCTTTTGTTCAATCATGTCTGACACTCAGAGACTGCTTGGATAGGTCCCTGCAGTTTTCTCGGCAAGGTTTTTCAGAATGGCAAGGTTTTTGCCATTGCCTCCTTCCTAGGGCTGAAAGAAAGTGACTGGCCCATGGTGCCAGAGCTGACTTTGTGCCTAAGGCTGGACTAAAACTCACAGTCTACTTCAGTTGAGGCTGCTCAACACATTTTCCTTTCTCTTCCCCATCTGCCATTTCCCAAAAAAAATTTTGAATTCTGGAAAATCCAGGTAAGTACATTTAAAAGCCCTCTCACAGTGAAAACAATAGTTTCTTTTCAAATCCTGTCCTTCAATGAAAACCTAATTTGCACTTAACAGCCTTCCATGCAGAGGCATAAAGTGTTTTCGTTTTTCCATTTACACGTGTGTGCATTTATTTTTTAGCCCAGTCTTGGCAGTAGCAGGAAGAACGAGGCATGCAGAATATTGGGGAATTTGTAGGAGTTGGAATAACTCCTCATTCTTAGGCAGCTGGAAGAGAAGGCAGATAAGGAGCTGCAGAAGTCATGAAACTACATTCCCTCATTTGCATCTGGAAATGTCTAGCTGTGCTTGGGCCTTGAATGTGTACATCCCTTGTTCTTTTAAGCATCACTCACGAGATCCAGACACTTTTAAAGAAGGGCTCATAGTCCCAGTGACACCATATATTCCAGAAAATGACTTGATTGCATCCTTAAGCTCTCTGTGGCAGCGGGCACATGAGAGACATTTTACATCAGTGGTTCTCAACCTGTGGGTCGGGACCCCATTTGGGGTCGATCGACCATTTCATGGGGGTCGCCAAGCAAGGCTATCCGCCATTTTTTTGTCCATTTTTTTTGTCCGCCATTTTTTCCCCCTTTTCCGGCGGGTGCCTTACCTCCCTTGGGCTGGGCCAGCTGGTGGTCGGCCTGCTCCGTCTCTGCTGCTTGCCAGCTACGCCTCGGCCGGCGCAGGGGGCGGAACCACGCATGCGCGGCGCTCCCAGGCAGGGAAAGTCCTCGACTTACAACCGGTTGGGTAGTCCTCGATTTACGACCGGTTTAGTCCTCGACTTACGACTGGTTTAGTCCTCAACGTACGACCGGTTTAGTCCTTGACTTACGACCGGTTTAGTCCTTGACTTACGACCGGCTTAGTCCTTGACTTACGACCGGTTGGGGTCGCGGCATTAAAAAGGTTGAGAACCACTGTTTTACATAATAACACAAAGAGGGACAGAACAGCCAAAAACAAAGAGAAAATAGAATCGAGGTGATCCTTGGCTTTCTGTGAATGTGAAATGAATGTCAGGATCAGGGCATCCTCAAAGAAAGAGCCATGGTTTGCTGAGATGGCCTTCCCCTGAAGGAAGGCGAAGGATTACACGCGCATTTGTTAAGCCCACCTTGATTATTTTGTTTCATGCTTTCCCAGCACGCAGTTCCATGTTTTTGAACTGTCCCGACAACTCCCTCGCTTCTCGATGTATTCGCTCTGCAGCCCAGACTCTGCGACCAGACCTCTG